TCATTGAAGTTCATCAAAGGTTTAGCATGGGTATTCGAGTAGAGATTTAGAATTCAGGAGGGTGAGCCGGTTATCCTCAAAATTTTCCCATGTAGATGTTATGTGAATTGATAATGAAGGGTACGTAAGCGCATTTCCCATTAGGTCGCACTAGGAGTATGATGTTTCCCCATAGTTGTTCCTCATAAATTTGTATTTTCATATGTCTATGTCTAAGAAGGTAGGTGGAGATCATTTGTATATCATCCTGGTGTAAACTATTGAAGGTGAATGTTAATGGATAGTTAGCTCATGCGAGGTATCTAGCCGTCATCCTTGTTAGATAAGTTTGTAGGTTGGGGTTGTTTCCATGAATGCGTTATGGAAAAATCCTATAAGTATAAGAGGCCACATTGAAGGCCGAGAGTATTGTGGAAATAAGGTATTTTCTCTTAATTGTATAGAAGTTGGTCTTGATTTAAAAGGTACCTTATAGGTGTTATGATTTAAAATGTGCAGTCCATGTTCTGGTATCAATATGATAATGAGGAGCTTGTAATGGTAAGGTTCTTGTTATTGATATATACATTATGGTGCTTTGTCGAGTTGTGGATGTGTTTTTAGGATGGTTTTGGTGGTTCTCTGGCAGGTGGATAGGCCTAGTTACAAAGGAGACTCTGCCGAAATTTCTGAACAATTTGGGAGTTAGTCAAAAAGAGATTTATTATGTTAAGCGTTTAAGTCGGACTCTACTCCTCATTCGATGACGAATGATCCTAAGGGGGGGAGAATGTAAGGCCCTGGAAAATTTCGCTAAGTAAATTAGGATTTCGTGGTGCCATGGAGGCTAATTATAATGTTTTATAACATGATGGGCATCAATTGGATTTGGTAAACAAGTGTATGAGTCATATATTAAGTAAGGTGGGGTCCAAGGAGAGGCCTAAGTGTACGCCAAATGGGAAAAGTTTCATAATAGGCTAAGATTCCAAAGGTACTTGCACTAGTCCATACTTTGAACGAGCATATCTAAATATGTATTAGGTTTTATGTGATGAATAACCTATCAGATGAAAGGTCTTTGAGTCTAGTTTCCAACACTTCAAACCGTTCGTCATTTAGACATTCCTACACAAAGTTATGGTCAAATTACCAAAGGCTGGAAAAACGCGATCCTGTGTCAAATATGCGATCGCATTTCTGTCGCATTTTCGACTTTGCGGTCGCAGATCTGTCGCAAATTGAGCCAGTGTTGCCCAGTTTTGGGCACCTATTTTGCGGTGCATTATGCGGCCCATATTCTTGTTTTGCGGTCCATACTGCGATCGCGACCCGACGTCGGAGGCTTATTTATCCTATTTTTATAACCCGACCCCATTTTAATATATAGTCTTTGGGGCTTCATTTGGGGTCATTTTTCTACTGATTTTAGAGAGAATTGAGAGCATTTTAGATAGAGAAGGAGGAACCCAACATTCAATCATCCAATCTTGCATCAATCTTCAAGAATCAAAGAACCAAATCACAAGTTCTTCATCTAAGAGGTAAGATTCTATACCTTAGGCTTTAATTTCGAGTTTGGGGGTATAAGATGGGGTATTGAGGTATGATTCTTGGGTGTAACACTATTATGTATACATGCATGTACAAAGTAGCCTTGTAGAAAGATTGTTGAACATAAATAAGTAAAGATTGGGTTGGGGAATGAAGGAAACCTTGTAAAAGAGATTTGAAATTAAGATGCTCATCTAGTATTTGATAAAATGCTCAAATGAGCTGAAACCATGAATACCTTCCTAATTTGTGTTCAATTTTGTTATGTCTCAAAGTAGATTGGGATTGCTAGAATTTCCGGAATGTTGTAGTAACTTAAGGAAAGCTTAAACAAGGTATGTATGGCTAACTTTAACCTTTGTAAAGTCACCCTGTTTGGTGTACGAGTAATTGGTATGCGTTTCTTATGTGGAATATTTGTGAATTCTGTTTGCTTCACGGGTGTTAGGGCAAGATGGCCTATTTCATGAATTCTTGTGACTAAATTGCCTTGAACATTGTTGGTTAACGTTCTGATATGACGGTGTGAATAAATGGCAACAAACCAAGTGTGTGTGTGAATGTGTTTATGTGGTAAGTGCTGTGGAATAAATGATGGAAAGAAGTCGTGATTGATGCAATTGAAACAACTGTGGTAACATCATGTGTGGCTTGTCGTGGGCAATTATCGTTGTGACTTAAATTGTTATTGTTGCTGTGAAATGATATTTGGGATGGCCTGAAGCCATGTGATTGAACTGTGAACTATTGTGGTTGTGTTAAATGTGAATGTCCAGTGGGATCGGGTTGCGCGCCGCAACACGAAGTTATAAGGTATGGGTTGTGGTGATAAAGGTGGCCGAGATAATAAGGGTGGACGAGGTAATAAGGGTGGAAAAGTGATCGAAATCACTATTGAAATGAAAATATGAGAAAGTTGTGAAATCATTGATGTGATGAAATAATGTTGAAAGGGGAAAATGAGAGATTGTGAAACTTGTTTGGCTTTAATTGTTCCTTTCATGTGCATTTGATTGTTGATTCTATTACTGTTTGTTATCTGTGTATTGATTGATTCTACTTGGGGGTAAAGTTTATTCATACATACCAGTACAATTCAAATGTACTGACGTCCCTTTTGCCAGGGGTGCTACATTCTTGTTATGATTGTAGGTGGTTCTATAGCAGGTACTCCAGTCCACCGACAGTAGCACCTCCTCCACTTTTCGTCAGCTGTATTGGTGAGCCCCTTTCCTCTCGGGGCCCTGCGTGGCTCATGCCACTTTTCTTCCCAGAGTCTTATTTTTGGTATTTGTGTAAGGTATAGCCGGAGTCTTGTTACCGGCAAGTATTGTAAAACTCTTTTGTATCCCTAGAGGCTTCGTAGACAGGAAATGTGGGTTATGTACTTATGTATTTTGTATTTGGGCAGTATAACTTGTAGACCACGTAAAGTAAGAATGTGTTTAATCATAAACGGCTATTTCACTTGAATAATGGGTATAGAAATCACGGGGTAACACGTGGGTTAGGAAAGGCATCCAGGTCCGCTTGACTGGGGCTACCCGATCGAGCGCCGGTCGCGCCCCTCGATTTTGGGGCGTGACAAAAATCACCAAAAATTTTAAAACTGGCATTGATATATAATTTTTGAAATGTAGTGATCGAGTTCATGGTAAGAGACTAAAGTAAAATACGTGATTCTAGATCCACCTCTTCACACTAGTGCACCCATCCTCTTGAAATCCTGGATCCGCCTCTGCTTACATTTGAAGGAAATAGGGAATTAAGTTAGGAAGAAGATTTAGAAGAAGAAATCAGCAGATATTCAAACAATTGAAAACTAGAGCCTCAAAAAATTATTTAGTACTTGTTGATGTAAGAATTGGAAATTGACGTATGTCAATCGGGTAAAAGAGTAAGAAGATGGAGGCTAAATAAGATGGAGGGTATTTTTGTAAACAAACAACTTCTTCTTAGAAATTGTGCAATGCATGTCATTTTTTATACAACATACCAAACACTGGATAAAAAACAATACCTGCATAACTAATCCAGTATAACTAATCCTAGCATAACTTATACCAGCATAACTTATCCCAGTACAAGGGGTATTCAAACCAAACGACCCCTTAATATGTTTGAGCCTTTAGGTCCTTTAAGTTTTTCAAAAGTGAGAACTTTTAGTCTTTGTCAAATATTTAATAAACTTTTAAGTATTTATTTGTTCGATTTAAAGAAAACTCGCATTTGAAGGTGTCATTTTTACTAATTTGGACTAATTTTTTTTTTATGTTTGATGCAATTCTTATAGATGTAAGTTTTATTATCTTTGGTCTATTTTTTGTACTTGATGCAATTTTTAGTGTTTCACAATAAGACCAGGAGGATTATGAGTTTACGTCCATCCCTGATTGGGTACAACTTCCTTTCAATTTAATAATTCTCATGTTGCAGTTCGTCTTGGACTAGATATGAAACAGTTTTTAACAATTTGTGTCGCCATAGATCCTATTGTATCTGTTGAGATCTATTGATTAGACCTTCTCCTTTGAGTACGGCTGCGGCCATAAATATGTGCCTAATATCTTATTGACTTGAATTTCCTTACCAATGTGAATATTAATATTATATTTTGTAAGACAATTCCTCTATAGATAAAAAAGAAAGAAAGAAAGAAACTAATGTAATATTAATACTATATTTTGCAAGATAACTATACTATAGGCAAAAAAAATTAAGGCCCCTTATTAAAATTTGAATTCAGGCCACGGCTTTTATTGAGACCCCTTTGCAACTCATAAAATATTATTTCTGGAATTTGACAAGAAATTCTTAATATTTTTCATAGTTTCTATTAAATACAGCGGGAGTTCGTTAAATAATTGATGGATGACAATAAATATTCACTTTTTACAAACTTACAGCTTGTTTGGATGGTTGTTAGCCATTGTATTGTATCGTATTGTTACTTTAAATACGATGTTCGTTTTGATTGTTACTTAAATTTTATTGTATCGTATCGTTAAGTACGTCGTTACATAACGACGAAATGTGCCACTTTATGTAACGAACGATTTGGTGTGCTTGCGTCATTACCTTGTCTTTTTCTCTCAGTCTCACCCTTTATTATTATTAAATAATTTTATTTATCATCTACCTACCTTTTAATATAGTAATTTATACTGAATCATAATTTTTCCTTATAATATTACAAGTTTACTCGTCATATTACTAGTGCGTGATATCATGAAACGATGACAAACGGCACAATCTATCCAAACATTATTTTTATCAAACGATATAGTATAATACAATTCAGTACGGAACAATACATTATGAACAACCGTCCAAACAAGCTATTAAAGAACTAACAGTAAGAGAGTCAGCGTTTGTTAAATAATCAATGGAGACAAAAAGATATTCACTGTTTACAAACTTAAAAGACCTGAGGAATATACTTAAAGGTCTACTTTAAACCCACCCTAAACATAAGGGGTAATTTTTGATACATTTTCCCGGTAAAATAAACAAACGGACCTAGGCTTAGGGCTTTAAAAACAGGTCGAAGAAGGGTCTCAAAAATGAAAATCGGAGAAGAAATGGGAGGGGGGAGGAAGAATTTGAAGAGGGCTGTTGAAGAAGAATTTTTCACTCTTCAACAGGGCCAAAGTATTATGCAGGTTGTGGACCTTCGAGGTTCCAACCTTATTCAAGTATGAAAAATCCTACTAATTTCTTCCTTCTTCTTTTTTTTTGCGTAGTTTTGGTATTTGTATGGATTGATAACGAATTTTTAGTTTTTCTTTTTTAATTTTGAAGGTGATGGATGCGAAAGGTGAAACATCAATAGCAATATTTCCAGCTAAATTCCAGAAAAGCATGTGGATTAAAAGAGGTTTGCTTTGGTATTTCCTATCCTAATTTTTTGGGGGGATTTATTATGGTTGTTGATTTCATGCCTTTATTTTTGGCATTGAAAGAATAATGTGAGTGTTTTCCTTTGTGTTTTGTATCTTCTTTCCTGGATGAATAGGCAATTTTGTTGTGGTTGATGAGAGAGGAAGAGAGGAAGCTGTTGAGTCAGGTAGAAAAGTGGGATGTGTTGTTACGCAGGTACTCTATTACGAACAAGTCCGTGTGCTTCAAAAGTCACCTGAATGGTGAGACTCTATAATTCAAGCACCTATTTTTCGCCCCTTTTTTTAGTTTAATGAAAGAGGGAATAGAGTATTCCTTATAAATCTGTTCTTGACGGGGAAAAGAAAAGAGGGTCTTTCTGCTCGATGGGCCTATCGATGTAAATTTCCATGGAAATGGATAATGTACTTCTAGCTTGTGAATTTGTAGCTCATATATTTACTTAGGTTACTGGGATTGAAGATTGATCTCTGATGTCTGGAAACATGAAGATAATCTCCTTATTATGATTGAAGGAGTATTCTTGTTTCTTTCTTCCATCACATTTGACTTACTGTGTGGTCTGTTTAGAGGTCTTCTCCATCTTGAATTTTTCTTCTTTTACGTCCACCCTAGTAGTAGATTTTGACCTTTTTCAAGTTAGTCTCTTGGATTTTCTGGTACAATTTACAATATATGTTAATGAGCTTACAATATTAAGCCTCTCAGTTACTACTCTGTTGAGTGTGTGTTTTACTAGCCATTTCACATAGTTGGACATTTATATTTTGAGTCTGTATACTCCCCAGGTAAGATATGCAAAATAGCTGGTAAATATTTGTGGACGCTGCCCCTAATTGGAACTGTTTCATCATACTGCCTCCCGACACCTCTCCAACCAGAAGATAAACCCCCTCTAGCTAAAAAAACTCTGGCTCCAATCCTCTACATATGCTGTCTGATTGGTTGACAGGAGGCTGTCACTGGATATCGCATCCCCTCCACATGAATTGTTTCCATTCAGAAATTTTCTTATGTTCTGGGTACTCTCTGTGCAGGCCAGAGATCTTCAAATCTACAGCAGTAGAGAGTTCAAAACAGGATAAGCAATCAGATAATACCCAAATAGATGAGAATGAAGACTCAAGCGATGATGATGGACTCCCTCCATTAGAAGCCAATACTAACAGATTAAATCCATTTCAACGGGAGTCCGAGACAGAATCTGATTCAGATAATGATTCCTGATCCATGCTTTCGGACATTCATGGCACCATGGATGATACCTTCATTTTTGCAGATGAAGTTGGTTGTAAAGACATTGCTGTCTTTGAATGCTATTGATTGTAAATCTGCTTGCTATTGAATCATTGTCTCTGGTAAACTAGCTAATATGTCAAACCCACGTCTGAGTGAGTAAACTTATGATGTTCCTCATTTAAATTTTCTAAAATCTGTCTGCTGGTATGATTTTACTAATGCTATGTTTGATGGGCTATTTTTTCTATATTGAAAAAATATGCATAGCGTACTTAGTTTGGAATTAACTCGTGATTTAAGGCGAATGAGCCCATAGCAAGGTCAATTAGCTTTTATGCCTTGTGTTGACAATAATTTTGTGACGCAAAGGTTTCTAACATGTATCAATTGCTACTTCAGATTGTAGAAACTTTCTACTATATTTAAGCGATTCACAAAAGTTGGTGTGGAGTATCAAAGGGCCAACACCCTAATGAACCAACTCTTTATTTTGTCTTATTTTCTTCATGACTGGTTTTACGTGCTTTTAGCCTGGAATCCTGGATCTTCCAAGTACTTTAATTAAAATAAATGAAATATTATGCCTTAAATGTAACTAGCAGATATTCTCAACTTACATCAGTACTTAGCTGGGAGAACTTTTGAGGAATCCAGAATGGCATCTGCTCTAATTGACATGGGTGATACTGGAAAGGATGTGGATTCAAAGGCTTTTGCAAGCAACTTGGAGAAAATATTTTTGTCAATTCAGGTAAAACATAATATCCAGTATAAATTCTGCAGATTCTGATGAAAGTTTTAGATACTGCTGTTTGACTTGTCTGCTCTAGGTTCCTGTGTATATTTGTCCTCGGGTTGGATAGGATGGATGTCTTGTTATAGAACTCTCTTTGTTAGAAATCCTAGACAAGTAAAAAGATAAGAGAGAGGAAGCTCTTCTGGGAAATAGAAGTTATTAGTCTTGGATGTTACGCTACAAAATCTTGATTTCATTGGATTGAGTTTAATTTTCCGACTCATATTGTTATTTCTACACAGGATTTGGATACAGAAATCATTATTGCTGCTGCAAGGGACACAAATACAAATGCAACCGCTGTCGCTGCCAATGTAGTATTTGATGAGAGGCAGATGAATGCTCTGTTCGGGGACGTGGTAAAGCAGTTTTAGCTCTGATATTTAACTATACATATTCTTTTCTACAGTTGTGGCATTGTGCTTCAAAATTATGACATAACCAAAGTCAGACACCCTATCACTATTCTGCTTGGTCTTAAGTTCACACGATTTATAAAATCATGGAACTCCCTTATGTCTAGAACTATCAATACCCTCCTATTTTTTCTTCTTTCTCTGGTACTCAAGAATGTCCTAATACTAAGTTGATCGGATGTGAAATGAAAAGTTTATCATTTCTCCCTCACCAAATGTCAAATTAATGCAGCAAAAAAGAGTTTCATTTCTTATTCTGGAAACTTTTTTGCTGTTATTTCTCTCCTAGTCCTTGTAAAGCTTATTTTCTGATCCTTTCTCTTCAATATTTGCAGGTTAGAGTTAGTGAATCTTACGGATTGAAATTTGCTCGTGAGTTTGCACTCTGTTGAAGCAACTTCTCTATTTTGATCGATACACCAGATTGTTAGCTCCAAATATGAATATGTATCGAGATCAGAGGGTCAAGCTTGTCTCTGATAGAAGACAAAGGAACATATACCAATGATAATTGTAAGTCGCACCAAGAAATTGTTGCACATCCTGAGATTTTCTAGTATAGTGTATATAATACCAAATTTAGACACCAACTTTACACAATAGAGGACAAAATGACTGTATCTGTCATATTTTCTGATGTATGATGTTGGTTGATGTGGATCCCATATTTGTGGGAAGATAAGGAAGTTTATTTATTGCCAATCTATCTTCATAGCATCGTGTAAACTACTGGTTGACATATACCCCCTATTTGGGGATGACAGAAGCCTTTTACTTGAGACACCACTGTTACTAATCTACTTTAAACATTTTAACCTTTTCAACGGGTGTCAGATGTTCTATATTAAGTCCCTTCGGTTTCTTTGCAACAAGGACATTAATTACAGATGAGACAAGCTGCAACCAACTAATTCAAATCCAAACGGAAAGTCTTGGTGTGCTGAAAGAGAGGATGAAAGGGCTAAACCAGCAAGTCTTTGCGAGCTCATTTTGTAGTTAAAAAAGAATAAGGCGAGGAGTGAAAGATAAAAAGAACTAAAGAAGAAAGACTGAGGAATATGTCACTTTATTCTAAATACATACTATCAATTATCATCACACAAATAACTGGAAATCCAAAAGTACTAGACTTCTATCATGAACACCTCATATTGCTATATAATCTACAAGCTGCCACTTTGATTCACCTGTACATAGTGTGGAAAGTGAAAAAAAGAAGAGAAAAATGATATAGGACATCTCCTTGCTCAGGATATTCACACGGATGGGCCTAAATGGAATATTGTTTGTGTTTCAACATCTTCTGTAGGTATATCTTTACCACCAATAAATCTGTTCCAAGAACCCCTTTACGTTTAAGTATCTAAGTAAAATTGCTGGATCTTTTGCACTTTGTTGCCTAATGACCTGCATCTTTCTTTTTGATCCTTGTTTCATTTCCTGAAAGTTGAGCCAGTCACCAAATGTATGACCACACTTGGCGAAGAATAACCCATAAGCCGATGAAGAGAAGAGCCTCCAGATGCTTGAACTTCCTCAATTTCTGAAGTTCCTTTTCCCCACTTAAACATCTTAGCCGAACGTCCTGGTGATTCCCTGTGAGGTTCCCTCAGAACAGATTTCATTTTTCTATCTGAACTGCTAGAGGATATCTTTCTGTTGAAAGATTTCCTTACAAGAGGTTGAATTGGAGGTAATGAAGACTCCCCTTCAGTAGAGCAACTTCTGCAGAACGACGGTCCCAAAATCATCAGAACACGATATCGGATCAGTATGGGGACAAGAATTAAGATGATATGCTGATGCCAGATTCTGATGATCAATGGCATCAGTGTTGTCATCAACCTCACTTGGTGGAGGAGCTAAAGCCTCTGTATAGAATGGGACTACATGTGTTTGGCTTTGGAGAGAAAACTTCAAAACCTTTCTACAAGAATTGCATCTAAGCTGATGACATCTCCTTTTGGAAAAAAGAAAGTCCGCAGGCAGCTGTAGGAGTTCGCTGCAATAGTAACAAGCAATTATTGGTGCTCCACCAGCTACTGGTCGGACATGACGCATCTTTGAGTATTTTTCTCACAGGTATAGTTTCTTCATCTCGTGATCTTTGTGCCTCCTATCATCAGATTTCGTCTCATGGTCCCATCGGGATACTCAGAGCTTGAGTAGCGTTGAGGACTTGAAGAACCAGACTGGAGGTGACTGCAACAGTTACAGCTGGAATAGTCAATCCGTCGACCTTTGTTATAGCAAACTGAAGGATGCAACTGTTCTGAGCTATGCCGGACCTGAGGGGAGCAGTGTAAACACAGTCAATCAGCTTGGTGCCTGTAATGTGCAGCCTTTGCAGAAAAAGGTATTCTTGAGCTTTTACGTTATTGCGGCCAGCCTTTTCCATGACTGCATTTTACAGGATATCTCGAATAGTTCAAATCAGCACTTCACCATCTGCCAAAAACTGATCATAGTATATGGGGGTATATTCTTCATCCCTCATAACCTCTGCAGAAAACCGTCTGTTGGCCATACTTTTAGTAATGCGTGTCTGGCGTAATTGATGTTCAAGTTCATACACCATTCTCAACAATTCTATTTTGTCTGGTTCTGAATTTGAGGGAATTGTGGATGGATGAAGACTGGAATTGTGGGCTACATTATTCCGATAATTTGAAGGGTTGCCATGCTTATGTCCTGCTTGAGAACCGGTTAATATAAACGGAAATGCTGTGGTTTGCTCATCCTTATCCAATGTCATCCTACTTCCAGAGGCCTGACCATGTTTCCTAGATGGAAGCCATTTGTCATGATTCCAGTTGCTACCTTCTGTAGTGTGATGTCACCTTCCTGGTAGAAATTTTTTATTTTGTGCCTCACACAACTGACGCTAGTTGTGTGAGGCCTCTTTTTTATCTCACAACTTTGTGATCCCAGAATCTTGTGGACCCAAATGTGTAAGATATGGGTCCACAAATGTGTGAGATAAAAAGAGGCCTCGCACAACTAATATCAGTTGTGTGTGAGGCACACCATAAAATCACTCTTCCTGGTAATGCAGTGGAAAGTTCGTTGCGTTCTGTACTATCTTTGACTCGCTGCTCATTGTGTTGTTTATTCGGCATCTAGCATCCAAATGAAACTCACTAGAGTTAAACCTTCTTTCAGGTTGCTGATGGAACTGATTAGGTAAATGATCATCCCCATCACATGAAGATGCACTGCCATCGTAAGCATAGTAACTTCTGTGTGTTGGAGATTTGATCATATTTCTGAGATTAACAGGAGGCTCAGAGTTTTCTAACGTATCCATAGAGCTTATACGGTCAAAACCTGAGTGAATCTCTTTTTGAAATTGCTCAAACTACTCATGATCAGTAGACATCAAAGTGTCTGTTATGATGCTTTCATTCAAAAGACTTTGGTACATATCGGAGCCTACAGATAACTGCTTCTCAATGCCATCACGGCCTAATTCTTCTCTGTGGTTGATACATTCAAAGTAAGTAGAACTCAGGGAGTTGAGCCTCTTTTGGTTAACTCCACTTTCATTTGATCATTTACGGTGCAGTGATCCGCAAGGAAGTTGTCTTCATCCAGTTCCAGTTGTTCTGTCGCTTCAAGGGCTAAAACCTTCCGCGTCTTGTTTGGTTTCAAGGGTTGGACATCCAGTGCCTTTTTCCAGCTCCAGTTGCTCTCTCTCTTCATTGGCTGAACCTTCTGCATCTTCTTTGGCTCCAACGACTGAACTTCCCGACTCATGACAAGTAAGTTGATCTGAGCTAGAAAGTCTATTGGAGAAATTTTCTCCTCCTGAGAACTCCTTTTGATGTTCATATCGTTCTGTCTTTTCGTCCAAAGCACAACTGTGTTCATCTCTTTTATGTTCTTCAGATTTGGATGAAGGATCTTCATTCTCAAGACAGGTAAGACCAGAAGAGCTCGGAAGCTCATAGGGGGAATTTATCTGTCGAGGTAGATCCTTGTTACAGTCTTCAGCACCCCCTTGATCGGACTGCTTCCACTCGTTCAGTGAAGCATCTCCATTCGAAGGAGAAGCTTATTCACTTGCGCTGCTTATTTCTTTCTGATCAAGTCCGTTGTTCCTGTTCTTAGCTGCATCCAAGTTAAAATTTGTGAGGAAGTCATTTCAACTTGCACCATAATCACTTTAACTTTTTTGAGAATTAATCACTCATGTAAAATTTAGTTATTTAATTCTATTGGCGTACTGGATCACCCATAAATCTCTACTCTCAAATGCAAAGGATCTCCACCACAAAATTGGAGAGTAAAGCTGTAAGAATAAGAGCTTAATCCACTTCCTTTAACAAGCCTAACGCAAACCTAACACACCCTCCCTAAAATAATAAATAAATGAAAAAGAAAAGAAGAGATGCGCAAATATGTGCACGAGATCTCTTTCTGACTCCATATGTATTTACAAAGAATGATAACCTTGGAGCAATGTAAGAGTTGTCGCCACGTGAATCATAGGTCATAAGTTCAAGTCATGAAAGCAGTTTCGGTAAGAAATGCAAGCTAAGGTTGACATAATAGACCCAGCATGGTCTAACCCTTTCATGGACCTAACTCATAACGGGCAGCTTACCGAACTGCACTCGGTTTATTGGGTTGTGGACCGTGGTGGATTACTTCGGTTATGATGGTTGTTCTTGTGTGTTATGGGGAAAAGGGGTTATTATGGACCCAGAAAAGATTATTGGCCTAGTTCGGTATGATCAGAATCGGTTTGAGGTCTGTGGATGGATTTGAATATGAATATGGGCTATATATCGGGCCGAATGTGTTCGTTTCAGCATAGCTCTCCTTATGGAGGAGTATTCGGACGTTGGATTTTAATTCGTTGTCGGCTACTTCATGTAATGCTATATTGTGCCGTGTGAGTTGGGAAACGGCTTGGTAAATATCTTATGTGTTGAAGTTTCGCGTAGCAATGGTGTTATGTGAGCAGGATGACTCTTTAGTTCCAGAACATATATCGCACCTCAGTTGTGCTTGAGTTTGTTAGCTTATGGCGCTATATGTCCCATCAGGGATGGTATTATGCACTTGGTATGCTTGTGATCGATATTCGGTATGTTGTTGTAATGAGCAATTTAGCTCGATGCGTATCTCCTTATGTGAATTTTATGTGTGGATCGGGTGGCACGCCGCCATGGGTATGTTGTTTGGATCGGGTTGCACGCCGCAACAGTGTAATGATAATTATGGTCCCTTATATTCTATTCTGTGTGTTTTGTTTCCCATTTTCTGAGGAAAGTTCATGTTAGTTGCGTGATTTGAGTAGTCCCTTCCAGAGTTCATTTTCCGTATGTATCGGTTCGAGTTGGTAGCTTATTGGCACGTTGCGGCATCATGTGAGACTTCTAGTCATGTCAGGGGTGACTTGTTGCCTGAGCAGTTCGTACTGGGTGAGACAAGGTTATTGGATCTAGGATCAGTTCAATCGGATTGTATGAAGTATATTAAAGAGCAAAGATCATTATTTGGTTCAGAATGAGGTAATGTCCTTGTCAGGAGTGTAGCCTCAATGATTTGTTGACCCGGCAGTTGGTTATGAATCTTTACATGTCTCTTCCGTCGTGGCAGTATTGAAAGAGTTGGAACAAGACTTAAATGTATTATGAGGTGCCTTGTGAGCATCAGATTGGGGGAAAGTCGGCTATTATGGTCAAGGAATTTTATTATGGTCATGTGAATGATGTGGTGCATAGTGTGAATTCAACAAAGGTATGTAATCTTGTATCGGTGCATCATGTGGTGATTGATACGATGTTCATATGTTGAAAGCAGGCCTGGCTGAGAATTTCGGATGTTGAAACTGCGCTCTACGGCTCATTTGTTTGAATAAAAGAGAATATCTTCGGATTTGCTCGAGCTAATGTGATCAACTGAGTTGTGGTAGCACGGGTAGGTGCACAAGGTGTTTAACTGTGATTTCAGACAACTCCAGCGCAGTTCTTAGCACGTTCGAGGACGAACGTATATTTATGTGCGAGAGAATGTAAGGACCCGATCGATCGTTTTGAGCTCTAGCGCGACGTTTAGCAGTTTGAGGCATGAGCAGCTTCATTTCAGGTATTATGACTTGTACACATGGTCGGAATTGAATTCTGGGAATTCGGAGTTGATTTGGAAAAAGAATTCTCATTTCGGAAGCTTAAGTTGAGAGAATCGACTGAGATTGGATTTTTGAATAAACGACCTCGGAATCGGGATTCGAAAGTTCCAGCAGGTTCGTATGATGATTTTGGACTTGGGCGTATGTCCGGATCGGATTTTGGAAGACCCGAGAATGTTTCGGCACCTAATGTGGAAGTTAGCATTTTGGAGGAACTTCATAAGCTTGGGTTGAAGTGTATTTCAGTGTTATTAATGTCCGTTTGGGATTCCGAGTCTTGGAATAGCTCTGTTATGGTAAATCTGATGTTGGGAGCGTGATCGGAAGTGAATTCGGAGGTCCGTTTGTCATTTTGGAGTCATTTGGCTAAAGATAGAAATTTGAAGGTTTTTGAGGAGTTTGACCGAAAGTGGACTTTTTTATATCGGGGTCGGAATCCAATTCCGGAAGTTGGAGTAGGTCCGTAATGTCGAATGTGACTTGTGTGCAAAATTTGATGTCAATCGGACGTGATTTAATAGGTTTCGGCATCGAATGTAGAAATTGGAATTTCTTAGTTTCATTAGACTCGAATTGGGGTGTGATTCATATTTTTTGCGTTGTTTGATGTGATTTGAGGCCTCAACTAAGTCCGTGATACGTTTTGAGACTTGTCGGTATGTTCGGACGGGGTCCCGAGGGGCTCGGGTGAGTTTCGGGGTGATTTCGGTCCATTTCTAGGCCATTTTTAGCTGCTGGTTTTTGGCTACAGCAGTATGCTACGCGATCGCGGGGAATTGGTCGCGATAGCGACGAGTAAAGTGGGAGAAAATGGCCAGTGATTCGCGATCGCGGAAGGCCTTTCACGATCGCGTAGAAGAAAGTTTCTGCTGCACTGACCCGACTTTGAAAGCTTGTATCTCGCAATCTATAAGGAATTTGGAGATGATCCAAAAAAAAAAGTTGTAGCCCTTTGTGTCTAGTTTTCAAAAAGTTAAACCATTTGGTATTTAGAGCTGTGTACAAAAAGTTATGAGTGGTGCGCTGCAGCCTATCCGGAAAGAGTTTGGAAATTGCAAAGAATAAATTTGTGTTGTAGAGGGCTGACTTTGGAAGCTTATATCTTGTAATCTATAAGGAACTGGGAGATGAGAAAAGCATGAAAGTTGTAGTCCTTGGAGTCTAGTTTTCAAAATGTTGAACCATTTGCAATTTAAAGTTTTGTACAAAAAGTTATGACTATTATACTAGAGACTGTCTGGAAGAGCTGGGCATTTGTTCTTCGCGATCGCAAAGCATTTCCTGCAATCGCGAAGGGCAAATTTTGGGCTGAGAAATGTTGTACTTCGCGATTGCGAAGCATTTTCCGTGATCGCGAAGAGTAAATACCTGGGCAGAAGCTATATTTTGAGGTTTTAGCAATTTTTAACATATTTGGAGCTATGGAGCTCGGATTGAAGCGATTTTTGAGGCGATTTTCACCATATGGATTGGGGTAAGTGTTCTATATCCGAAAGTAATTATACTTCATGATTCTATGGTTATATTCATCATTTACTTCTGATTTAAATGGAAGAAATCAAGATTTTTGTAAAACTTTTCAAGAACGAAAATTCAAGATTTGGAGGTCAAGTTGTTATCGGAACTTGGTAAAATTGGTATGGTTGAACTCGTATCAGAATGGGTTATCGGATTTTGTGAGTTTTTTGGAGTCCGGGCACGTGGGCCCGAGGGCGATTTTGTCAACTTTTTGAACGGAGTTAGGAATTTATCTAAATTGAATTGTTGTGAGTATTAGAGTATATATTTATGGATTTTCTCATTTATTGGCTAGTTTTGGAGCGTTGTGCATCGATTTGAGTCGTCAGAAGGGCTTGGAAGCCGGTTTTGGAACTTCCGAGCAAGTTGAGTCTCCTTTCTAATCTTGTAAGAAGGAATTGTCCCCATAGGTGAATTAATTGGATATGTGCTGCTATTTGCGAGGGCTACGTACGCACGAGGTGACGAGAGTCCGTGTGTAGCTACTATTATGTTTATGTCCGGGTAGTCTAGGACCCAAAAGCATGCTTTACTTGTAATACTTGTAACCTTATTGTTAGTTTAAATTGCTTAAATCATATCGAAGTGGAAAATGACTTTCTAAAAGAGTTAAATTTCATATTCTTGACTTGTAAAAGAGAAATTTACACCTCCTTGAATAATAGTCTTGATTTACTATTAAAAATGTGTGTTTCTGTGTGTACTTGCGTCGTATGTATGATTCACGAGAAGGGTGATTGTTTATTTATATTTGACCGCGTTGCATATATGATTCGTGAGCGGGGTAATAGATGCATCTATGGTTCGCTCCATTCGACCCTCTGGCAGTGTACAGTTTAAATATTGTTGGATCGGGCCGTACATCCTCGGCATGAATTGCGCATGCTTGTATGGCTTGCCTTGAACTTTATTGAAGTTAATATTTCTTCTACCCGGCTTGAGAATATATGCATAATTGATGAAAAAGGAAATTGGAAATTTTCATAATAAAGAAGGAATTGTTTGCTTGCTTCACTCTATTGAATTACATTCATGTTCATGTAAACCCTCGACTTGTTATATTACTGATGTATCATCATTGGACCACTAGTAAGTGTCGAAGTCAACCTCTCGTCTCTACTTCTTCGAGATTAGGCGGGATACTTACTGAGTACACGTTATTTTCGTACTCATACTACACTTGCTGTGTATTTTGTTGCACAGGTTCAGGTGTGGCTAGCGGCTTAATGGCATAGCGGCATGGTTGGTACGGAGACTTAGCTGAGCTGCATTTATCGAGACGGCCCGCAGAGTCTCCTTCAGACTATTGTGCTGTATTTTCATTTCTGTCCACCTTGTATTTCGGACAGTTACTATATTTTATTTTATTCCCTAGTAACTGCTCATGCACTTGTGACACCGAGTTCTGGGATGATTATGGGGTATTTTGTATTGATCTCTTGACTTTCATATTTAATTTGAAATAAGTATCTTTTACTAGTAAAATTGAAGGAAAATCAGAGTTTTCACAATTATTTAACTGAGGATTTAATTAAGTATTTATGGTTGGCTTGCCTGACAACGGTG